CTATGGTACAGACTCTGGGAAAAAAATTCAAATATATATCTTTCTTTGTTATCTGATTTGTCTTTATGTTATAACTTAAGGAAAACTACGTAGGTGAAATTGGATCCCTCTGTTTGATTACTTAAATGTCCTAAACACTGTTGTACAATGATAAGGTGGAATTCAGATTCTTAAGTTGAAATCTGCCTCCCTCAGATGATACAGGAATTTTTTGTTTTAAATTTTTAGTAGCACAGATATTAGTAGCAAAAACTTTAACTGGAAAAATTATAAAGTGAAATTAAGTAATTCATTAGTCCATTGGAGTAATGGTTTATGGCCATAGTTAAAATAACATTAACATTTATTCTTGTTACAGTTATTATTTTTCTGATCCACCCTGTATCATTCAGGCAGATTTTGATTATTTAAATGAAGGCTTTTGTGACTCCAAGAAGAGACTAGCGGTTACCAAAGGGAAGGGGATAGAGAGGACAGATAGGGAGGGAGGGAGAAGGGCATTAGGGGGCATTATGATTAGCACACATAATGTAGGGGGTCCCAAGGAAGGCAGTATAGCACAGAGAAGACAAGTAGTGACTCTGTAGCATCTTACTACGCTGATAGACAGTGACTGTAATGGGGTTAGCGGGGGGACTTAATAATATGGGTGAATGTAGCAACCACTATGTTGCTGATCTGAAACCTTCATAAGATTGTATATCAATGATACCTTAATTTAAAAAAAAGAGAGAGAAAAAATGAAAGCTGTTGTCAAACAAGAAAAAAATACAGAATGCTTTCAGATTAAAAAAGGAAATCAGAAACATTGGCTTTCTTACTTTCCCATATGTTATCTTAATTACTTATCACATTAACCTGAAGCCTCTGTTATTTTATCTATATGTTTGAGTCTTCTAATACTCAAAAGGTGAAGTACAATTGTGACATTGAAGTGACAAGATTAAGTTCATGTCTTTGGACCCTAAGACTCTAAAGTCCTCTTGCTACCATACATAGTTTTGCTTCCACTGTTTAATATTTTCACATGTTGACATTTCAACATATCTTAAGATGTCATGGTATAATCTCCTTCTCATTCTCCAGCTTTAGTTTTCTTTACTTTTACTCAAGATTTTAGAGCAGAGCTGGTGGTTTAAGAATAAAAAAATCCCAGAAGTTATGCAATGGGCAGCATAATACAATTTATAGTTTATAATCTAAATCCATTGTAGAAGAGAGAAATGATTAAGGAGAGGCTCAATTATTCAGTTGACACATTAACTGTGCATCCACTCTGTGGTAGACAACATTCTAGGTCCTGGAGGTTCCCTAGTGATCAAAAGAGGTAAAACAATATATTTCCTTAGAGTGTACTTTCTAGTAGAGGATAAGACAGTAAACAAGAAATTTTAATAAAATATGTAGTGTAAGTAAGTGCTAAGGAGAAAAATAATGCAAGAAAAGTAATAGAGAGTCAGAATGGGGGAAAGGTGTTTGCAATTTTAGATAGGAAGTCTCGGAGAAACCCACTGTGAGAGGGTGATATTTGAATGAAGGACTGAAGGAGGGCACCGAGTAAGCTCTGCAGCTATCTTCTGGAAGAGCATTCCAGGCCAAGAGGTCATCAGGTGCAAAGACTATGGGGCTAGAATATACTTCACTGATCCAAAGAACAGAGGTCAGCTGGGGTGGAATGAATTGAATGGAGGTAGGGATAGGCAGTGCTGTCACTGGAGTACAGCTCTTACAGCCCTTGTAAACCTCTGTAAAGACATTGGTTTTTACGTCACTGAGGTGGGAGACATTGGATGCTTTCATCAAAGAGTCTTATTGCCTGACTTCTGTTTAAAAAGAATCTCTCTGTCCTGTTGAATAGAGGGACAGGGAATGAGAGTCAAAGTAGGGAGGCTATTAAAAAATAAATAAGTAAATAAAACAGTTGGCTCCAACCGCTTTAGTGTAGTGGCGGTGATAAGCAACTGTCAGATTTAGAAAAGAGGACCCTGCAAGGTTTCCTGGTGGATTGAGGGTGGTGTGTGAAGCAAAGAAATCAATATGACTTGGAAGGTTTTGGCCATATCACCTCAATGAAGTTGCTATTTACTGAAATGTGGAAAACAGAGAGAAGAACAATTTTTTTGAGGGGGAGGAGGATAAGATTGGGGACTCAGTTTTGGACATGTAATATTTAATACCTTTCTAAACATCCAGTGGAGATTAAATGGATGCTAAAGCTATACTGACAGAAGAGAGGTCAGCTCTAAGGCATTTGATCTAAGTGGAGTGGGATTATTTCAATCATTCAAAAACAAGTATTTATTAAACATTGTTTTTTGTGCAAAGCCCAGTACTAGGTGCTGGCATATAAGATTAATAAGATCTCAATGCACTTAATGGTGTATAGTTCCTGTAGGTCCTAGGGATTGAGTAGTGCTCACAAACGTGGTATCTTGGAAACAGCAATTCTTGATCCATTATCACTTTGTTACAACTATACCTAGTTATTTTACTCAGTTGGCCATCCTCTTGAAGAAGGGTTGATTTGTTTTCACGGCTGGGCCTCCTGGAAGTTCTGTTATGACAGACTGTTATAAAGAAGGCTGTCCTCCCAGCTCTTACTGGCAGTTAGTGTTCATTGTTCTTTCCTTGTACCTTACTGATAAAATTCAAGTGGCGAGTTGTGTCCTGAGGGTCCTGCTCTTGCAGTACAGCACGCACAAGGTTTTGGGTGGTAATGATTTCTGAGCTAGACAGTAATACTGGAAAGGTGAATTAATCACTAGATCTTCTTGTTCTGTCTTTGAGTGTTAGGTACTTTTTGCACTGATGTTTTGACATTTGGTATTATTCTCTTAATAACTCTGCATGGGGTTTTTGAAGGATCCGCCAAGCCACTGACTAAAGTAAATTTTCTAATAATACAATTACCTAGACAAAGGCTGCAGTGTTTTGATTTCTTTTTTTCTTTTTCGTTGTCTTTTGTTCTTTCTTTCATTTTTCCTTTTCTTCCATTCTTTTTTTTTCCTTTTAGTATCTAAGTCTTTGGGATACATTTGAGAATGTATTATACCTGCCATTTTTCCCATTACAGAACACCGCTGTGCTGAACATTAGTGCTTGATACTCAATCACAGCATCTTTTCTTTGAGTCAAAGAAGAGAGCAAATAACTCTCTGTTCAGGGGACCAGGTAACACTAACCAGTCCCCACTCTCCAATAGTAGAAGTAATTTAAGCTATCAGAGACCCAACACTACTTTAGTAGCATCTACTGGAGAACAAAGCAGTTAAAGCAAAATTTCATGTGGCTGCCTTTCATGATTTGAGCTCCTTCCAAGAAATGTATCTGGAGTCATGCAGGATATTATTTTGGAAGTGTTTCACTGACAGCGATCTAGCAGAGTTCTTTATCAAGTAACAACTGAGGAGTCATATCTGACAATATGAGAAGTGTTATGATTCGGTTACAGCACGGTGACTCACTTGTAAGAATTTCCACATGCAGATTAATATTTGTATGAAGTTGGCATAAAACATAAAAGTATAAGGTTTGAAAAAATAAATAGAGATAGGACACCTGGATATTTAATGTCCTTTGAAGGCAAGCTAACCGTGCAGAAGACAATTAAATATAGTAAGTTCCATTGATCTAGACACTTGAAAAAGGTGTCAATTTTTCTAATTTCTAATTGTTTTCAACTAAAAAATTTCCCATATACATGTTATAGTTTAACCTATTTATGCATATGTCTGTAAAAATAAATGTTATTGACTTGTATCTTTTATTTTACATAAATGGTACACACTGTATAGATCCTTTTACCACTTGCGTTTTTTAAAAATCTAATATTAGAAATTTGAGAAGTGTACATGGTTGTGACTATAAATCTAGAACACTGGTTTTCTGCTACTCTATAGGGTATTATTCCATAAATCAGCCACTGTGTATTCATTCCCCTACTGATGGAAGTTAAGTCTTTAGGGCTTTAAAGGGAACATAAAAAGAAGAGAGGAATTGACAGTCACAGACAATTCCTCAACTCTGCTCCAACAGGTTGGCACACTGGTGTGTTGGGCCACTAAATTCTAATGCCTTACAGAAGGAGTTTTAGGTAGAGGCAGATTTCCATAGGGCAGAAACAAAGTTTTGAAGCTTAGAACAAGGATAGTAATGAGATACTAGACAGACCAAGGAACATGGCAGGACTATTTCAACAGAGCCAAAAAAATGCAGTTTCAGTATAGAAGTTTCCACGAATTTTTTCCTAGCTCTACTATCTAGAAATTCTGAATGCTTATTTTCATCTGTGTATAGCAGGCTCTATCCATACAAAACCCTTCAAGGATCAAACTTCCTGATCTCATTAAGCCATTCAGTATGAATATAAATCAATGAATATCCGCCTTCTTTCAGATCTTACACTAAATAAATGGTACACACATGTGGCCATTCATCAGAATTAACTGGAGATCTTTATAAAAATACATGCTTTTACAAACTCAACCTTGGAAATTCTGACAAACAATTTATAGGACAGAGAAACTGTATTTTTTAATAAAAATATGTCTCAGTGATTCAAAAAGCATTTCACTTGAGACACCACTTCCATAGGTGTATAGCTTAATTTTTTAAAGAGAAATCTCTAGTGGAAGTTGTCAAGAAAAAAATGCCTAAAAAGGTGGTATGGGCTAAAAAAACAAAATGCTTTTCATTGTACTTTTTGGCCAGAATTAAACTGACTCACTTCAACTATTTATATCTTCAAAATATATGTAGCTAAGAGAGGTGCAAACACTGTTGACATTCCTGAATATGGAAGCGATTTACTACACCTCAGAGAGAAAATAAAATGCTTTACCCACGGGCTACAGAACACAAATAATTAAGTTATTTATTGTGGGTGTGTAGAGGATGTTTAGTACCTTATGCAAATCATGCTTCATGAATCCAGGCCTTTGTAAAATGCTCTGGTTGGTTATGCATAATTGCAACTTACGGCTTTTCTGTTGTGTTTCCAGCACAGTGATGCGGTCCATGATCTTCTTCTGGATGTGATCACGTGGGTTGGAATTCTGCTGTCCCTTGTTTGTCTCCTGATTTGCATCTTCACATTTTGCTTTTTCCGTGGGCTCCAGAGTGACCGTAACACCGTCCACAAGAATCTCTGTATCAGCCTCTTTGTAGCAGAACTGCTTTTCCTGATAGGGATCAACCGAACTGACCAACCAGTGAGCACCTTACATTGATCTTTTCCAGTTATCTCAGACAGTTACTGATTTTCAGATCTTACCTAGTTTTCCCTTTCTCATATTCCATTGTTGTTAAGAGCAGTGAGTTTTATAGATGTATAAATATACATTTCTTTATAAATTCTGTTCACAAACTTGGCTTCCTAAGGAACAGTGTCTCTTCATTAGTTTTTATTTTTTTTTAATATTTTAATCACAGAGCTCAATATTGAGGCAAGTTAAATAAAATCATTTGGAGGATGGAAGAGTATCTTTTCTAGCAGATGTAACTGTTATTTTTTGAAATCTATAACATACTTCTTCAAAAACTGGTGGGTATTGTATTTTAAAACTGCATGGCTAACATGAGTTTTTCTAATTGACATATTTTGGAAAATAGTTCAAACTGTAGGTTATTTTTATAATTCGTAAACTCTTCCCAAGTCTTATTTGACACTTTGTCAAGTTCTGTTCACATCTTTAAGTGCTAACTTTGTACTCCCAACTACATTTAGTCGTGTCAAGAAAGGAAGAAAGGGGAAGAGGGAGAGCAGAGGGAGGGAAAGGGAAGGGAAGGGAAGAAAGAAACAGCATTAGCCAGTTGTTCTTGGTAAAACCTAACAGAAAATATAAGTAGTGGATAGTATCTACTACATTAAACAAACTTCATGTCCACTTATAACTTTTATGAGGCCCTTTCTATTTACTTAGGATTCATGCACATAGTACATGTTTGTTCTTATGACTAAAGCTGCAAATGTAAACTTTCATTTTTTTAGAAGACTTGCAGGCATAATAAATTCTTCATTCACTTAATGCTGTTCTCTGGTATGTGTCCAGATGTATGGCATACTTTACAATAAAAATGTAGTTGGATTCATGTCTGCAGTTGCTCATTCATGATTAATGGCTGTAAATGGTACAGTAATGGTGATTGTACTTTTAATTGGTTATCATATTCAAATGTGACAGCTTTTCCCATAAATGCATACATATGAATAATCAATCGAAAGTGCACATTTCTTTCCCCCAAAAAGTAAAGCCTTCTGATAAGAAAAATCAATAGTTGAAGTTATAACTCTAAAAAGCAAGAAATGGAGAATGTTCGATTTCATTCTGTTGTTAATCTGCAATTCAAATGCTGTGTGATTTATTTACACATAATAGAAACCTCCTTATTTTTGTTTGCTGATGGTACATATGGCATGATAAACTTCACCAAAGGCTGTATGTTGCACAAAACTAGTTTCTGATGAAAACAATGACTAATGGGAAAAAAATTGGATAGAGTGCAGCTCAGCCAACTTGTCTTCACTGTTATTACTGCATAGGTGTACTCTTCCTGCCTCTTACATAGTGGTTGGGCTCTGCTTTCTTTCTAGCTGCTCTGACATTTGACTTCCTTGTCTCCCTTTGCCTCTCTAATCCAATGATGTTGACCTGCCCTTTGTCTCATTTCTCAAGCACCACACTCATCCTTGAATCCATACTAATCTGATCATTCCTATAAATTTGTTGCTCTTTTCTCATAGGAGCAATAGATTTTAGTTAGGACATCTTATGAAAAATGACTTCCCCAAAAGGAATGAGAATTTTAGGAACTGACATAAGAAAATTAATACATGGTCAGGTGAAACTTGTGGTGACTTAAAAAATATGCCAAAGTAAGAGCTGGCTGCCTTTTTTTGACCAAGCTTATCTAGACCAACATTTGGTACAATAACCAAAAATGAAAGAAAATGATCCACATCTGTATCACTTTTCTTTAACCAGATCTGATTTTATACCTACGTAGCATGTACTTCCCAATGCCATCTTAAATCTTTTCTGAAACAAGGCAGGGAAGAAATAAATAAACAATTAATAACCTCATCATAAAAACTGTAATTATTGTATTTTATTTTAAGAGCTTTTAATCTCCTTGGTTGAATATTTCTTTCATTTGCAATTGAGAAACTTAAAATGTTAGTATACATATGATTATGGCCAAGAAAGAAATTTCATGAGATCAATTTTATAATCTTTAGACTAATCTCAGTAATAATTATTAACTGGCTCTTATTAAAACTTTTTCCTAAATGTTATAATTTTTCCTTATTATAATGTCATCATCCATAAGCCACTCTAATACAATGCTAAGTATAGTTTTCAAAGATAAGCTACATCTAATTAGGTTTTAATATTTGAATTTTAAGAATCTTGTCTAGATTATTCTTTTGCAGAACTCATTTATTACTGCCACCTTGATAAATATTATTTCATCAGCAGTTGTTAGCATTTCGATTGGTATCATTATTTGACTGAGTCATTTATTCCTTTCCATAGATTGCCTGTGCAGTTTTTGCTGCCCTCTTACATTTCTTCTTCTTGGCTGCATTCACCTGGATGTTCCTGGAGGGGGTACAGCTCTATATCATGCTGGTGGAGGTCTTTGAGAGTGAGCATTCACGCAGGAAGTATTTCTACCTGGTCGGCTATGGGATGCCTGCGCTCATTGTGGCTGTGTCAGCTGCAGTAGACTACAGGAGTTATGGAACAGATAAAGTGTGAGTTTGTGTTTCTTTCCTTTCTAAAAGAAAATCTAGCTGAAATAAAAGCTTTAGGATTTTCTTGGAAGCTAACATTTTTATGTCACCTCACAGCAATGAATGGCAGAACTTGAAAAGCATATGGAGAAATTCAACTCCTGGTTGTACAATAATTATTATGATGTCAAAAGAGAAAAAAATATTCCTGAGATTCAGCATCTCACAATTGTATCATAACCTTGAGTAATTGCAAAGAGATGATAATTTTAATATCTTTCAGAATATTGAGACATTTGTCAAACAGAGAACACCATTTATTCAGAGGATAGTGTAGCCCCTGGCATTACTGGCTTCTCGTCTTTCTGACATGTCAGTTCTAGTTACTGGAAAGAAATGTACATCATTAATAGAAAGATAAACTATAGAGGCAGGGGCAGCTTGTATTTTTCCCTTTTCTTTCCTAGATGGGTATTGGGGTATCATGATAAATTTAAATTTTATTTTCAACATACCTTCAAACTGATGATATGTATATATGAAGATGTCCAAAATACTGGAAAGGAATCAATGAAAAGTATTTTTGTAATCCGCATCCATATAACAACAGGGATCCTGAAAGTGAATACAAGTTTCAATAGAAAAAGCAATTAGAAAGAATACCAAGACAGAGCTCTTATAAATACATTTAGAACATAAATTGAGGAGGGAAAATTAAAAAAGGGGGAAAAAAAAGGTGGCCAGAGTCTTAAAAGAGAACCATGAGGAAAGTGAGAAACAAGCTTCAGGATGGTGCTTCAGAGCACCATCTGCGGTGTTCTATGTCAGAGAGAACTCAAGTAGGATAAGTAAGCATGGAGGAAAATCATCTGTCTTTTGCAACAACTATTTTGATAACGTGCTGAAAGCAGTAGGCAAATTGGAAGGTGTGAAGGCATAAGTCAGTAACAAGATGAACCTTCAAGTATCATCTACACCCTGAGAAATTTTGATTAAGAAATACTGATATTATTAACTCATGATAATAGTAATGTGGCAGGATTTTAATACTTAAATCCCAAAAATGTCTAGGGAGGGAAGAAACAAGTTGATAGATTAATAGGGAACAAATATCTTATGTCTCATTTGTTTTCAATATATATCTATAGACTGAATGAAAGGGAAAGGTCGTAGGGGAACAGAAAGGCAAAGTATCAGATGTAAGATTAGGAAAACCTTGATTTTGTACTGAAAGTGGCCTAGAATTCACCTAGTCCAAGGCATTAATTTTACAGATGAAAAAAATCAACGATCGGATAAGTTCATTGTCTTTCCCATAGTTATAGAGCTAGAAAGTGTCAGATATGTGATAAAACAGGTCAAGTTTATTTCCATGAAGCTAGGATATTTCTGAAATAGCAAAATGACCCCCAGTATTCTAGGGTAAGTGTGAAGAAAAGGACAGATAAGGTAAATCTCAAAAACAATTCAACAGATGTGATACAGGCTCCCATCTATCATATTGTTGGTGCCTAATGGAGGAATTTTCCATTAATTAGGGCATGCTGATTTTCCTGAGCGAATAGGTAAGGTCACTTTGAGAGGACAGGAGACTTGAGAAGCTTTGAAATGACCACTATGGAATATGTGTTAAGGAGCCAAGTAGACATCAGCAGTAGTGAAGGCTCAGATGAGATTGGATTTGTGCCGAAGTTAATTAATAATCCAAATTTCATAACTTTCCACCAACAATCAGCACCCTGAATATGCTGGCAGTAAAGCAGCTCACTTCCCGGAAGAGAGCATTCATAAGGCGGGGAGGGCAAGCAGAGGGCAAGCAGGGAGGCGAGCATACAGGGAGCATCGGTAAAATAGGAATTGTGTTAGTACAGAGGCACCAACAATACGATTGAAGGGAGATTGTATCACATCTGTTGTATTTTTTCCTTCAGTACAGTGACAGGCTATATACTAGTGTTTGTATAAATGTAACTAACAGTATTTTTAACCGAACCTTTGTAAATTGTGTTCAAATCTTAGTTCATTTTGTGGATTCCAGTGACTGCTATAGAACAGATTAGGAATAGATGAAAAAATTACCTGGGTTTGCTTCTAAAGACCTTTAGGACAGGGAGATTAGATACATCATAGGATTTTTTTTTAAATGATGCCTTTAAATGATAAAATTCACATACCATAAAATTCCCTCTTTTAAAGTGTACATTTCAGTAGTTTTTAGTACATTCACAGCATTTTGCACCTGTCACCACTAATTCTAGAACATTTTTATCACCCCAAAAAGAAGCCCATTGGCAGTTATTCCCCTTAGATCATAGAATTTTACATTTTAATTAATGTGTTTCCCTGTAAGAGCTAAAATAAACAATATCTTCTTTGTAACCTATTCTACCTCAAATATGGTTCCTAAGTAATTCAATTTTGCTCTCGTTCAGTTCCTGATTTGCTATTATTTTGTTTCATATGGATATTTCTTCTTTTAAAATATTTGCAAATTTTGTTAGTGAACTGAATGTGTTTGCTTTGTGTTTTAATTATTTATTTTGAGACAGATGTCATTTTCTGGATAGTAGGATTCTATCTTTTCCTAGAATCAATACCATGTAGTCTCTTGTGATTTTGTTAAAGCTTTGGCCATCACTGCTTTAATTTCCTGAACCATAACTGGAAGCTCTCATTTACTGGCATTATGACTGTGTGCAAATAGAGGCTAATTTATTTCTCAAGCAGTGATTTAAAATAAGCCTTGATAATAGCTCAGTTTCAAAATTAGGATTTTTCCAACACAAAGAGAAGCAAAACAGATTGGAGAAAAAGGAAGGTAGTTGCAAGAGGGAGAAAAAAGGATAGGGGAAATCGCATTAAAATGCAATCACAGGTGGGCTGGAGCATTTAGTGTCTCGTTTGTGTATTTTTAATCAATTGTCCACAGTAAGACCTTCGAATACATGGAAGAAATATTTAACTTCTACCCTTTGCCCAATTCATAGAACCCAGTGTCTATATAGTACTATTTTGAGGAAATAGGTGTTGAAAAAAAAAAACATTATTCAGTCATTTGTATTTACTTGAGAAGCTGAAATGCATGAACCATGTTTCTATCAGCAGGTTAATCAAGATATTATCTCAATGAAAAATGAAAGCAAGAAATTTTTACACATCTTGAAGGATTTCTGCAAAACAGAATTAAATATCTTGTTCCTTTATTATCGAGTCTGCCTTTGTTGTTCCAGGTTCTGTTACTATTGTTTATTACTTTTATTTTATTTCAAATGGCATTTCCCATTCCCTGTTCATCACATGACTCATGTTTTTTTCATCTAAGTCTAGTATCTCAAGTTTGGGTGTTTTGTTTGGTTTTGGGATTTTGTTTTTTCTTTTTCTTTTTTCTTTTTTTTTGCCAGTGTTACCTTCTTATGTGCTACATTGATTTTTTAAATACAAATACGTGGAGTCCACAGTTTTAAATAAACTGCAGCTGTTCAGAATTCAGAAACATATTGTCAGCCATTTTCTGTAAATTTTTATTAAGCTCAATACAATAATTTTTTGGACTTGGAAGTCCACTTCATTTATTTTTGGAACTTTGTTATTATTAAATTGTTACTCCTTAGCTCAATAACTTGGAGTACCTAGAATGAAATCATTGACTATATATTACAGTAATCCAAATAATAGGTACTTCTCCCGTCTCTCTTCTCTCAATGTAAGTAATTGTATTATACCGACAATGAAGTTTTATTTCTAAAATCTTTAATAATAATAGTAATAATAGCTTGCATTTCTAAGTAGGGAATCATATAAATAGTAGGAGAAGAAATTATTTTTGTAGGTTAAACAAATGTTATTTTGATACAGATAGAACTGTCACGTTCCCTCTGGTTGGTGGACTATGATGTAGTTTTCTATGAAATGTTGTAGGGCTGTTGAAGTGATTATTATGTAGAAAACATACCCGTGCACAAAGCATACATAATTTGATTTTGAGAAGTTGCTTAGTCTTGGCCATCAATTTGCAATGCTTGTAAGAAAATCTTATTATTTTCTGATGTTGTTGAATGAAATCTTTTTATCTGTACTGCCATTATTCTTAAGAATGTACTTAGAATTACATTTAGTCACAATAATCAGACATTTAAAAATAAGATTAAAAGACCAATACAATCATTTTAAGAAGTAACTCTCAGCTACTATTTACAATGGGTATTTATTCCATTTTATCTGTTTTTGAATCATCCCTCTGTCTTTCTTGTACCCTAATTCATATGGACATTCAGTAAACCCATCCAATATGGTACTGTCAGAAGTTAAAGGCTGGAATTGATTTACCAACAATTCAAACAAGACTGATTTGGAAATTATGTACTAAATACTTATCACCTGAAAGTAATCAGTTTATATACACTTTAATTACCTCAATATTAATAAAAAATGCAAACTGGTCAGCTAATTTTTAAAGAAAAAGAAAAAATTTATAGTTTATAGCACTGTCCTTGCAATCTAAACACACAAATGAAAAAAATAGTGGTTAATACAATAGGTAGGTTGAAAAGGACTGAGGGTAGGTTCCTGGAGGAGAAAAGGTACTGAGAAGGAGTAAGTCCAGAAAATAGCCTAAAAGTTAAAATATAGGCTCAAAAATCAGCAAGGAGTTTCTGAAAGATGTCAATTAGGTCATAAACATTTATAATAGATCAGAACATCCCTCAGTACTAGAAATATAACCAAGTCCTTAAAATATAATTGAAATCAAATTTTATGATCTGAAAATTATTATAAATCATCTATTAAGTCTTAGACTTGTCTCCCCAGCTCACTAGCTTAAGAATAGCTCTAAAAAGGGTAGTGTATCCTTTGCTAGATAAAAGCCCCTAATTTCTTTATTTTCACTATCCAAACAGCCTAAAATTCACTGCTGATTTTTAAATATCCTAAATTATAAATTATTCAATAAAGAGCCCAATAAGAATATTGAACTTGATAGTTTCTACAGGTTAGATGCACATGTATATTAATACATTTCA